AAAGACTTCTGGCCAATAAAAATAAACACCTCCTATTTTCAAAGAGCAATCTTTATTTGTTGTTTGAGTTAAAGAAAATAGAGAAAGTGATTAATGTTTGAAAAATAACACATATAATACCAACTCCCAAAAGAAAAAATGGATGTTCTAGACCAATTAAAATAAAATTAAAACTCTTCCTTCCTAAAGAAAAATATTTCTTATTTGTAGCTTCAATAGAACAAAATGGAGAAAATAATAATATTTAAAAAAGATAAAATTTAGTCCCAACCCCCAAAAGATAAAATGGATGTTTAAGACCAATTAAATTAAAATTTAAACTCCTCCCTTTGAATAAGAACTATTTTTCATTCGTGGGTTCAAAAGAACGAAATGGAAAAAATATTAAACTTTAAAAAATATAAGTCTCAACCCCTCACAAAAAACTGCTATTAGCCAATAAAGAAAAATTAAACTCCTGCTTTATTTTTATTCATTGGTTCAGTTAAACAAAATGGAGAAAAATTTATTATTCAAGAAATAAAACGTATAATTCCAACCCCCAAAAGAAAAAATGGATGTTCTAAACCAAGTAAAGTAAAATTTAAACTCCTCCTTCTTAATCAAGGCTTTTTTTCTATTTGTGGATCGAGCTAAACAAAATGGAGAAAAAATTAAATATTTAAATTTAAAACATACCATTCCAACCCTCAAAAGAAAAAATGGATGTTCTAGACCAATTAAAATAAAATTTAAACTCCTCCTTCTTAATGAAACCTTTTTTCTATTTGTCGGTTCAATAGAACAAAATGGAGAAAATATTAAACTTTAAAAAATATAAAATTTAGTCCCAACCCCTCACGAAAAAATAGACTGCTATTAGCCAATAAAAAAAATCAAACTCTTTCTATATATTTATTTATGGGTTCAGTTAAACAAAATGGAGACAAAATTAATATTTAAATTTAAAACATACAATTCCAACCCCCAAAAGAAAAAATTGATGTTCTGGACCAATTAAAATAAAATTTAAACTCCTCCTTCTTAAAGAAACCTATTTTTCTATTTGTTGGTTGAGCTAAACAAAATGGAGAAAAAATTAATATTTAAGAAATAAAACATTTAATTTCAACCCCCAAAAGAAAAAATAGATGTTTCAGACCAATTAAAATAAAATTTAAACTCCTCCTTCTTAAAGAAGGAGAGTTCTTCAATAGAACAAAATGTGGAACATACTAACTTAGTTTAATATTTTCACCATTTTTTGTTTTCTTATATAACTTAGTTTAATATTTTCTCCATTTTGTTCTATTGAAGAACTCTCCTTCTTTAAGAAGGGGAAGTTTAAATTTTATTTTAATTGGTCTAAAACATCCATTTTTTTTGGGGGGTTGGGACTAAATTTTACATTTTTTAAATATTAATATTATCTCCATTTTGTTCTATTGAAGCCACAAATAAAAAATAATTTTTTTTAAGAAGGAGGAGTTTAAATTTTATTTTAATTGGTCTAAACTAAATCATCCATTTTTCCTTTTGGGGGTTGATACTAAATTTTATCTTTTTTAAATATTATTATTTTCTCCATTTTGTTCTATTGAAGCCACAAATAAGAAATATTTTTCTTTAAGAGTAAAATACTTATTGGGTCAAAATTCGTGAAGTGGGCAACTAATTTTCAGTTGGTCAATATTTTTTATAAAATTTATGTTTTTCTGTTTGAAATAATAAATAAAAAATACAAGTTGAACAGTTTTGCAAAATTCGTTTTTTTGTTGTACATATTGTTAAACAAACTTTTTTGCATGAATTTAGAAAAGTTTTTTTTTTTAATAAAGTAATAGGTAAAATTTAATGATTTTTGGTATGATTATATAAAGATAACACGATTTTTGATTAACATTTTTCATTTTAAAATTTAACGTAATTTGATAAAATTATAAACAATTTATTTAAACAAATGAAAATAAATGCAACTTCTCGATCTGTTATTTTATTTTTCAAAATTGAATATTGTTCCTTATTCAATGCCCAAGTATTACCAAAAAGAAAAAATTGGTATTTTACATTTGTTCAAAAGAAGTAAATAATTATGTTAATAATAATAAGCATTAAAAAATCATAAAATCTTAAAAATATTTTTTTTAGCTTCATTAATTAACAAAATTAATTATAAAAACCTATTAAAATAATGTTTGAGTGTTTCTGATGTATAAAAAAAGTATAACAATTTATTAAATTGTTTAAACAATAAATTGTTGTTATTTTTTTAAATCTGCATTTAGGGCTGGAAACTTCTATTTTTTTCTCAATAATTGTGCAATTTGTCAAGAGTAAAACATCTGGTAATGATAAAAAATAAAAAATAAATTAATTAAACATTGTTTAAATAATTAATTGTTATTTTTCTCATAAGGTGTACTTAGGGCTAGAAATATCTAGTTTTTTCTAAATTCAATCAACTGAAAAAATTAAATAAAAAAATAATAAAATAAATGTTAATAAATTGTTTAAACAATGGTTAAATAATAAATTTTTAGTTTTTCTATTATACTTAAGTGTTTAAGTTATATAAAAAATGTCACAATTAAGAAAAAACTAGGATTTTATAGTTTTAAGTACAGTAAATTGAAAAATTAATAGAATAAATTGTTTAAACAATGTTTAAATATTTAATTCTTTGTTTTTCTTTGATACTTAAATGTGGTAGTTACAAGAAAATGCACAATACAGAAAAAACTAGAAATTTCTAATCCCAAATACACTTTATGAGAAAAATAACAATTAATTGTTTAAACAATGTTTAATTAATTTATTTTTTAGCATTACCAGATGTTTTACTCTTGACAAATTGCACAATTATTGAGAAAAAAATAGAAGTTTCCAGCCCTAAATGCAGATTTAAAAAAATAACAACAATTAATTGTTTAAACAATTTAATAAATTGTTATACTTTTTTCATACATCAGAAACACTCAAACATTATTTTAATGGGTTTTTTTAAATTAATTTTGTTAATTAATGAAGCTAAAAAAATATTTTTAAGATTTTATGATTTTTTAATGCTTATTATTATTAACATAATTATTTATTTCTTTTGAACAAATGTAAAATACTAATTTTTTCTTTTTGGTAATACTTGGGCATCGAATAAGGAACAATATTCAATTTTGAAAAATAAAATAACAGATCGAGAAGTTGCATTTATTTTCATTTGTTTAAATAAATTGTTTATAATTTTATCAAATTACGTTAAATTTTAAAATGAAAAATGTTAATCAAAAATCGTGTTATCTTTATATAATCATACCAAAAATCTTTAAATTTTACCTATTACTTTATTAAAAAAAAAAAACTTTTCTAAATTCATGCAAAAAAGTTTGTTTAACCCCTTGACTGTGAGGGTACGTCTATAGACGTACATTTGAAAGTGGGCTTCCACTGTGAGGTACGTCTATAGACGTACATACAAAAAAATTGATAAAAGGCAGAAAAAACAAGTAAATTGACGTCACACATACGTTACTTATGGTATTTTCGACGCTGAATCCGAATCTGAAGTCAAATTTTAAAAATTCGAAAACCAAAATCCAATATGGCTGCTCAAAAGTAGACTGTTTTGAATGATACTTTTATTATATTAAATCTCAGGCAGCATACATTATCATATCAAAATAATATCTCACACAATTATATCAAAATGTTGTCGACGTCGCTGGTTACGAATATGAAGTTAAATTTTCGAAATTCAAAATGGCGGATTTGGATCCGCCATTTTGAATTTCGATGACGGACTAATTTTTTTTAATTCATTGAATTCGCTTGAAACTTGTTACTCGGGGGTTTTCGAGGTCGCTGATTCCGAATATGAAGTTAGATTTTCGAAATTCAAAATGGCGGATCCAAAATGGCGGACATATTTTTTTTAATTTCTTGGATTCGATTGAAACTCGTTACTCGGGGGTTTTCGAGGTCGCTGATGACGAATCTGAAGTCATATTTTCAAAATTCAAAATGGCGGATCCAAAATGGCGAACGTATTTTTTTGAATTCATCGTATTCGCTTGAAACTTGTTACTCGGGGGTTTTCAGGGTCGCTGATAACGAATCTAAGCTCAGATTTAAAAAATTCAAAATCGCGGATCCAATATGGCGGACATATTTTTTTTAATTTCTCGGATTCGATTGAAACTTGTTACTCGGGGGTTTTCGAGGTCGCTGATGACGAATCTGAAGTCAGATTTTCAAAATTCAAAATGGCGGACGTATTTTTTGAATCCATCGTATTCGCTTGAAACTTGTTACTCGGGGGTTCTCAGGGTCGCTGATAACGAATCTGAAGTCCATTTTTAAACATTCAAACTGGCGGATCCAATATGGCGGGCGTATTTTTCCAATTTATCGGATTCGCTTGAAACTCGTCGTTACGCTCTTTCTTTATTTATAAGAGCAGAGATTTTTCGACATAAAGACATGATTTCTGAATACTCTCTATTCATAGAATGTAATTTGCACAAGTCACATCGAGAGGAATGTAACTGCATCTCCCAAGGGCTAATATTTTGTTTTGCTATTTTACGTTTCGATGTTTTAAATCGATTTACATTTTCAGGTTAAATATTTTTATTACAATATATCACGCTATTATAAATTTTGGACAGTAAAATATGTACAATATTCATTGAACATCATTTAGGCAAATAGAAACGCGTAACTGTTGTATCTTAGTCTTTTTAACGCTCGTCTTTTGTTTTGATATTTTACATTAATCAACTTTTCCATAATAAAAACGTTTTATTATCGTATATTCGTCTTATTAAAATTTTGGATACTTCTACATTTATAATCTTCATAGAATTTTATTTACTCAAATTGATTCGAAAAACAGTAAGTATTAATCCGACTTCTATGTGTTTACCTTTCGTTTATTTATTACGCGTGTTAGTTACCGGCATCAATCAACTTTAATTTTTTTTTATCTCTAATTATATTTTACAAAGCCTTTCTGGTACTGATTCGAAATGTCAAGAGGGTGGAAAAAACGAAAAATTTCTGATTCAGATTCAGAGGTAGATATTAGCAGTAGCGACGAGAGCGATGATTTCTTGGTAAGTGAATCGGGTTCTGAAGATGAAACTATAAATAATGGTAATGATCTTGAAGATGAATCATGTGAAGAATCTGAAGTACCTTTAAGTACACGTCAGTCAAACTTAAGATCAGATTTTAAATGGACTGATCAAAATGTATTTAATCCTGTCATATATCATTTCAAAGACGACAATCATGGAGTACAGCCATCTTCAGGATTAACCTCTAGAAATTCTCCGGTTGAAATTTTCAAAACAATTTGGGACGAAAATCTGGTAGATATAATTTGCGCACAGACAAACACTTTCGCAGAGAGTAAAAAAAATAACCTTATGGAGCAAGGGAAATTGAAGAAAAACTCTCGTATATTAAAATTTTCTCCTGTAGAAATTGACGAAATGTATGCCTTTCATGCCCTTGTAATTTTGATGGGTATAATTAAAAAACCAGAACTTTCGATGTACTGGACAACGGCTCCTACTCTACAGACTCCAGCTTTTAAAAATTGCATGACATATGATAGATTCCGATTAATTTTAAGTATGTTGCATTTTCAATCCGATTTCGATGATGATAATGATGCTTTGGTCAAAATTCGTCCTGTTTTAGAGTACTTGCTGGAAAGATTTCAGGCTACTTACCGCCCAGGAGAAAATATTGCTATAGATGAATCCTTATTGCTATGGAAAGGTCGACTGAGTTTCAAGCAATTTAATAGAAACAAACGAGCCAGATTCGGAATTAAATTGTACCAAACGTGTGAGTCAAAAACTGGGTATTCCTATAATATAAAAGTGTATATTGGAAAAAGAGGAAACGAGTCTTATATTGATAAACGTATTGGAATTTCTGGACAAGTAGTGAAAGACATGCTCTTAGATCTTGGTGGGCAAGGACGTACGTTGTATATTGACAATTGGTACTCTTCGCCTTCTTTATTTTACCAACTGCTCAATGAAAAAACTAATGTCTGTGAGACGGTGAGATTGAATAGGAGATACTTACCAAAGTTCAACACGAAATGTATCAAAAAGGGAGATATGAAAGTATTTCATACTCCAAAACTCTGTCTAATGGCTTGGCATGATAAAAAAATTGTGTCTATGCTAACTACAAAACATGCTCCAGAATTGATAGATACAGGGAAAAAAAATCCAAGAACTGGAGAATCAGTAATGAAACCCAACATTGTTATGGCATATAACAGCTACATGGGTGGAGTTGACTTATTAGATCAGAGTACTTCAGCTTATCCTACTACCCGAAAAACCATAAAATGGTACCATAAAGTCTATTTCTATTTGCTAAATGTCGCAATGTACAATTCTTATGTCATTTTCAAAGCTCTTCATTCCGACACTAAAGTGACCTTTTTAAATTTTAAAATTCTTATAGTAGAAGACCTGCTAAAAGTACATCGTAAATCACAAAACATTTCACGAAAACAAGTACCAGTTTTGCAAAAGAAACTGACAAATTTTGATAATCATTTTCCAATCAGTAAAGGTAGCTACAAAAATGCCAGACAAAAATTTCGACCATGCATCGTGTGTCGGCAGAAGAAAATTAGAAAAGAAACAGCTATCATTTGCAAAAAATGCAATGTGCCTCTGTGTGCTTTTCCTTGCTTCAAAGAGTACCATACGTAGAAAATTAAACCACTATAAATGTTTACGACAACATTTATAAATTATACGTTAAAAAAATGATTTTAATTAATTTAAATTTTTATAAAAATCAAAACACAAAAATCCAAAAAAAATAAAAAAAATAAAATAAAAAAAAATTTTTAAAAGGAGTGTAAAGTAAACACCCCTGTACTTGAGAGGAGTGTAAACCGTAAACCTCCCTGCTTCAAAGAGTACAATATGTAGAAAATCAAACCACTATAAATGTTTACGACAACATTTATAAATTATACGTTCAAAAAATTATTTTAATTAATTTAAATTTTTATAAAAATAAAAACACAAAAATCAAAAAAAAAAATTAAAATTAAAAAAATAAAAAAAAAATAAAAAAAAATAAAATAAAAAAAAAATTAAAACAAAGGAGTGTAAAATCCTACCGCAAACCTCCACGTGGTACACTCTGGGGTTGTAAATAAATATTAAATAATTTACTAGCAAACTGCGGGGGTGAAATTAAATTTTTTTTCATTCATAATATTTTCATTATTTTTACACTATATTTTATGACGGTTCTTTTAATAATAAATTAAAAGTTATACAAAATTTAATAAATCATTTTTCCCTTATTCGTCACAAATCATTTTCTATTGCCAACGTGATAGTCAGACGCCAGTTAATTTTATTATTAAAAATTAACAAAAATTAAAAAGATATGATATTCAATAACACGACCAAGTAACAACAATTTCACTATAATATCTCAAAGGAGATTCCGTCAGGAAAATAACCAAAAAGGGAAACTTGGTCATTTGAGACACGACTCTTGTCAAACAGAAAATTATACTTACTAAATCTCAAGTCTAAATAATTACTAGATTATAATTCCTTGTTATTCTTTTGACAACCAAAACACAATTTCTTTTCTAACAAACCTTTATTAACAAACTATTAAATTCTCCACATAACACAAGTCAACTACATACAACGTCAATATTCCTTCGTACAATATACTCTTATACTTTTTATAAATCTCATAAGTACGTCTTATCTCATCAACATCCAAATCCAACTAACTCAAAAATGTGCTTTTGTCGTCTGCTACATTTTTCGCGATACGCCGATATACACTTGTCAAAAAGGGGAATTTACATTTCTCTCTACGCCTTAAAGTCAAAGGACTAAGGCGCTAAACCCAAAATCAAATAATTATTAATTGAAATTGTAATAATAAAAAGAAAGTAAATAATGAACATATCATGACGAAACCACTTCGTCACAAAACTCCTCCCTTGAGATTGAATCTAACTCTTATGCATTCGAACTCACATCAAAAACATACAACTCATAACAAATCAAATCAATAAAAAAAAAATACTTTTTTCATTTAACAATACTAAACAAAAAAAAATATAATAATTAACTAAACATTATCCTACTTCAACACATAAAAAAAATTTTACAAAGTTCACTTCACTTATAGTCTTTAATTCTTGGTTCTGTTCACTGCATCAATTTCTGGATGGCCATGTTGATTGTTTCCAGCGGTAAGCAGTTCATTGCCATTGTCAAACTCGTACGGCAATTATCAAATTCTTGGTCTCCTCTCTGTATGGTCCTAATTTACCGTAAGAAGGTCGTCGGTTAGATTCTGCTTCGTCAAGAATAGAATGGTCCTCACACCAAAAAGTAATTTGGAAATTTTCCAGGCTCATTAACTGCATTCGAATCCTTGTTTACTTCCCAGGCTCAATTTATTGACTAGATTAGTCACTACTTCCCTCTAAGTTGTCTGCCGAAATTTACTCAAGTTGAGACATAACTTAAAAATAAATAAATAGTTAGTAAAAATTATACTTGATTTAACCAGGTTAATATTTCTCTAAGTCTGTGACATGGATTTTGGGATTTCTACGGCTGTCTTTGGTTCGTAGTACAAAAACTAAAGGAGATAATTATTTGATAATTTATGAGATTTCCTCAGAACTAAGTCACCGACTTTAAGATTAATTTCAACAAAAATGACAAAAACTAATTTTTGTCATAGTATTAAGTCTGTCTATTTTTCTCCTTGTCAATGAATTTTGTCACCAAGTATCGCAGTGCGTCAAGTCGTTTAATCCTGTCAATCCATTCCTAAGGTGAAATCCTTCTGTGATCAATCAATCCATATTGGCGATATACCAGGTCTAAGTTGAACATTCATATTCCAGGTTTTGGAAAAGTCACTACCCAGAATGATGTCTAGTGTAACTGAATGAAGAATTTTGTTGTTGAGTATGTCCGTCTACAGTAACGTTCAATTTAAACAACCCTGTAGTCTCTCTCGTACCACCACTAGCGATCCTTATTGAGGTTTTGCATGGTTGTAGTTGGCTCCTATACGGCTCTGTTACTCTGTTGCTGATCACCTATATCATTGCTCCAGGGTCAAAAAGTGCCTCATAAGATTTGTTGCCAATGTGCATTAAAAAAAATCGTCTTTTTTTTTTTATTCGGCTACTGTCTACATCCTTGTCAATTTTAAGGTATGGGTCAGTTGTGCCCTTCACAACCTCTCCCCTCCCTTGGATCATTGATACTAATCCCTTGTCAGTATCATTCATCCCCTCAATTAAACTCCACTTAAAGAGTGGATCATTATTCCCACTCTTGACCTCAACATCACTAAATGAAAAATTAAATGAGTCTCTCTCATTCTTACATCCTCTTTTATCACATGTCAAAAATTTGAATGAGTTTTTCTCATTTAACTCCTCAGTTTCTACCCTAACTTCGCTTCTTATGAGTGGTTTCTCCCCACTCTTGTCAACTACTACCATGTCACCCATGTCCCAACTGCAAGATGCACCTTCATTAATAGGGAAAGAATTTAAACCTTTAATTTTGTCAGTTTCATCCCTATTTTTCTCAATAATATTAGTTTTCTCTTTGTTCTGAAAAACTTTAATTATCGAGTGTGAAGGGGGTTGGCGGGGGGTACAGGCATCTTCTGCGCCCCCCATGGTCCGTTTCCCAAAACATTCCTTATATTCACACAAATCGGGCAACTTAAGAAATTTACCCCTGGTGTTTTGCAGGCTAAGCAAAATTCAGTCTGCTTTACTCTACTGGGGCAGTGCGTCGCAATATGCCCTTGTTGCTGACATGCAAAACAGATTCTCAAAGGACATTCTGACACTCTATGTCCCACTGCTTGGCAAGAAAAACATGCACCATAGAAGGGAGTTGATGCACTAGTACTACCAGTTGGACAAACTTGACCTACTGGGGCAACGACAGTATTAACAGGGTTATTCTGTTGTTGCTTCTTCTTCCAATTATCCGCTACCATGGCCGCATACATCATCGCTGGATTCGGCACTGGTGTTGGTGTCGCAATGGTGGGGGTTGTTTGGTTGAGAGCGTCGATTTTTTTAGTAGTTTTCTCAGCCTTCTTTTCCCCCTTAGTCTTCTTTTTCATCTTCTCTCCTTTCATTTTATTTGCTTCCTGACATTCACTCAATTCTGTTGCACCCTTGTCTTCCATAGCCGCAATATCGTTTTCATGTTTATTCGTCCCATGCGTCTTGTCATCCTTCTTGGTACCATGAAATGCAGCAGCCGGAAAACGCATCTTGTCTTTCGATGGTGGGGGAACATATCTGTCGTCCAAGTCCTTTACTTTTTCGTATTGTCGTAAATTCTTTTCTAATTTGGTCAAAGATTCCAAACCAGATGAGTCAACTTGTCTACGATAAATTGGCGTAAGGCCTTTGTAAGCTATTTTAACTTGTTGTTTGACTGGTATGGGTCTCTTTAAGTGTCCCATTATAAGTCTTAAACTTGTCAAATAAGAAGAAATCTTTTCTCCTTTTGCTTGTGTCCTAGCCCTTAATTCATCAATAACCTCGTCATCGTCAACTGTAGTCAAAAATTCTCGTCGAAAAGCTCGCTTGAACGCCTTCCATGTCTTAGTTTCTCGTCTTATGGTCCTGTACCATCGACTTGCATTACCTTTTAATACACTTGGAATTGAGTTTATTAGATCATCGTCATCTATCAACATACAATTTCTACAATCTTCCAGTCTGTTGAGAAAATCTTCAGGATCAGCATTATCTTCATTAGAAAATTTAATGTCCCAATTAATTAATATTTTAATTGTTTTTGACCTACTGATTGTCTTACTACTGTCTGATCTAATAGAAGATTCACTTGAGTCGTCTAAGTCAGATTCACTAGATGAATCAGTGAATAATGTTCGTCTTATGCTCTTTTCTTTGTATATTTTATTGGTTCGTCGTTTGCGTTGGTCCTTACTACGAGAAACTTTTTTCTCCCTAGTCGAAATATTTTCGGGTTCGTCTGAGTTATCTGTACTAACACTAACTCTCTCGTCTTTAGATATCCCCCCTTTGGACAGATGCTTTTGATTAGCCTGTACTAGTCGGTGGATATTTTGGTCACTTCTCTTCCTAACTAATTTACTCTTATTATGAGTGTTCTGGGAAAAATGTACTTTCTCAATTTGTTCAAAATTTTCATTTTGATAATGAGACAGAAGTTCTTCTCTTTTTAAATGAGGAACCACGTCATTTAAAGGACACTCAAAATTATTTTCCTGTCTAGTAGGGCAATGTTGCTCGTCAGTAGGGAAAAGAGTATTAGTCATTTGTTTGTTTAATTTGTTTAAATGTCTGATTTCGGGACTGATACTGAGTCTAGCGACTGATTGTCGTAAACTAATGACATTTGGTGCCATTGTAGCCGAAACAATAGGTTGAGGTGCAGTCATAACTGTAGTAGTTACGGACAATGATAGTGTGTGGGAGGTTGTAGTTAAAATAGAAGTAGTAGGGATACTAGCTGTCGTCATAACTGGGGTTTGAATCAATATTGGGGGGCTCGGTAAGGACTCGCTTGTCGGACTTTGTCTACTATACGAAGAGTTCCTCTCTCCCCTCCCTGATATTGATTCTTGATTTTGATCAATTTCTCCCAAAATACCCATGTCTCTTAACCTGGGATTGGTAGTCTCC